CGCGCTCTCGTGTCCATTGCTCCGTTTTCGTGAAAAGAAAGGAAGTTTACCGTCCGGGGAATTCTAAAACGGCTACACGTTTTACCATATTACATCATTATGTGATTGTACAACCAGTTCCGTGACAGCACCAGTACGAAAAAAGGAGTAGTCGGTGCTCGCTGGCGTACGCGAGTGTGAGAAGATACGCGATCGATCGAATTCCCTGAAAAAGTAAGTTCTCACGAAATTTCGATCGTTCGATCGAGATTATTTCGTTGGCCATCCGGATCAACAGTTACTTGATCGGTGTTTCATTAATTGGGGAGGATCTCGTGATTCTTTGGAAGCAATAATAATATAGTAGTTCTAGGAATTTGCTTCGACGAGACGTCATCAGGTGATTCATGATGACACACTATCAGACACGTGTATACGTGTAGTATATGTGCGTCTACTATTTCTATGACACCTGAAACGAGAATTACGATTGCCTTTAAAGGATGGAATACTAATAAATGGACAGCATTTTACGTACTTATCGCAAATATGAGTGCACAAGACACAATAAAATTTTCCTCAAGATTAGCATCAATGTCGCCTTACTTTCGGCTTAACAAAACCAATAATAAGGAAAACAAATCTCAGATATAACTTAAGGGGGGAGACTCCGTGGCCCGTGCGCTGTGTCCGTGCACTCACACAATCAACGGGAACCGTGTATGTATATGCGATGTGCAAGAGAGATAATCGATTTCGTAAATTCCAACTTCTGTCTGAACAATTGCACAAATGAACTTTTCACGGGTATAGAACTCACGGGTAGACTTCCCTACAGGGTGGTCTGGTCCGTATAAACAAATAAACACATTTTAATTGAAAGAATTAGAATTTTAGAAAGTGTGCGATTGTGACAGACGCCGATGAAAACACACAAGATGGCTGCACAAGTCACATTTTGTCAAATATCTCACGATTTAATGGTTTTTTCGTCAAACGCAGACCAGACCACCCTACACACCACTATCACACTATCGTAGAAATCCAATTTTTGTCACTGTATCACTTCTGGAACGCAGAAGTTGGAATTTACGATTCGACGCGTCCAGACACAGAAATAAACAGTGGTATAGTTCAAGGATTCTCCGATAGAGGCGTTTATGGTATTTGTCAGTCACTTTGGCCTGCGTTACCACGAGCATCGATAAAACAGAGGGAGTCGGTAAATGTAACCTCGCAACACGTGGTGGATCGTATCGATTGTTTTGTTACGCTGTTGCCATTCGACAATTCTGCCCGTCAGGAGAACGATGGAACAGCTACGGCCTACGGCTCGTGGCGAGATTTCGATTCTCGCGGAACGTAGGAAATAACGACGCGAGGGAAAGAAATCCGAGAATTAAACAATACGTACTAATGTGTGCAAGGATGAACCTTCTTATTCGTACTTGCAATGATGCTTATTTTTTTAATTATAGAAATTACATACGAGATACTTGACATGATATTCTCGAGAAACAAATTGTAAAAATGGCACAATATATATTCCGGGTATTCCACATACGAAAAACATGGAATACTATGCAAATCTCTTGTTGGAAATGATATTTATTTATTTTTTATTGACATAATTGACGCAGGTGTTATATACTTACACAAATATTTCATAAAAGAGACACAAAAGGAACACAATTAATCGCATACGCTCTGTCAATCTTTCATTCGTCGCCCAGCGGAGATAGATTTTGTACTAACAACTGATTGCTGTCGCATGCGTACTTAGCGTATCATCTTCGCTGCGTCTGCATCTGTTCCAGTACGTATTTTGTTTTAAAAATTGGACCAAACGACTTGAGTTTTTTTGAGAAGCTAGAAAGATTAACTTATTAGATGACATGTTTTCGTTGTTTCGAAAAAATTACAATTGTTGGAATAGCGAAGAAAATAGTAAAAATATTAAGAAGTCCTTTTTTCAATTTTTTTCTGATCCTATAGTGAAAATTTAACAAATACCTCTTATACACTTAATTAAGATACGTACACGCTGAAAATTCCAGGGTATAAGTTACAAACTATTAAAAGTGGTTAGACTTACAAGTTAGAGTTACAAATAAGTTACAAAACTAAAAAACTCGTACTTTCGACTTATAAACCTGAAGATTTTTTACTACTTCGGTGCTCGTAGCTTCTTTGCTTTGACCGACGAATTTTGTTATGACTGGGCCCGATAATGGTGGCCTGACCTAGGTCACTCTGAAAGTCACCATCGGGTGTCGATCGAAAACCAAGAGACAGGAATACTGTTTCGTTGAACGTCGACTAGAATGGTCATAAAACCAGCTTTCGATTTCACTATTGTTATTAAGCAGTATTATTGATATATATACATAGATAGTAATGATATACTTAGTCATGACAATAAGGAAACTGTAACATCGCAGCTTCACTTTTCTTTTTCTTAGATATATAAGTCTACAAGAGGCATATTTCGAATGTTCATTATAGGCTAAGATAAAAAAGTTGAAAAAAGTGTCTGTTACTATTTTTGTGCGTGTTTTGTCAAACATTTCCCTGTACATTGTGAAACAACTAATTACAATTAAATCATTAAAACTTAATTATCTAGACTAATCTTTAACTTCTCATAAACATTCAAATCATTTTATGGATAACTAGCTGACGTACCCGCTCTCGCGCGGGCAGTTTCATATTGCAAATCATATTTTAGTTCGTATATACAGACTAGACTGTAATATACCGTGAATAAATAAGCAGCATAGAATTTTGGATAGTGCAGTATGAATCACATCGATTTGCGGCTTTTTAAACTTTTTTGTCTGCCTCAGCTCATCGTTAGCTAAAGAACATTGTCGCTGGACTGTTCCTTCGACTAACTTTGGCCAGCAGGAATAAATGGGCTGTTGAGCGCCGGGCGAGAGGCCAGCGACTGACGATCGAAATACAATGTAAACAGATAAGGAATGAAACGCATGAATGCAAATTTAATCTTTTATAGTTTTCAGTATACATTCATTAAAGTATCACGAATGAACTGAGGAGATTCTGTCGGTGGAAATGAGTCCAAATACGACATCATTCGGATTATTTTCAATAATATATCAGTTTCATCCGCAACATTACGTATGAGTAACAATTGTCCAATTACACTCGAATTTGGACGCATTTTAATCGGGAGAATTTCTTCAATTCATTCATGACATTTTCATTAAAATATATTGCAAATTGTAAAAGTTTAAATTTTCATTCGTGCGTCATTTCTTATCTCATCTACGTCTGTTTACATTGTATGCCGATGGGTCGGTCGCTGGCCTTGGACGTTCGGCGAGAATCGAAATCTCGCCACGAGCCGTAGGCCGTAGCTATTCCATCGTTCTCCTCACGGGTAGAATTGCATGCGGGACGTGAGGCAACAGCGTAAGAAAAACGATACTGTCCGGCAACACTGTCTTCGCGTAGAAAATACACAAACCCAGCTTGATGGTAACGGGGAACAAAATTTATTTGTGGGTATTGCCGCTAGATGTCGCATTATCAAGCCGTCCGAAATATCGATTTTGTGTTTTCGCTGGCGTCCGGTTGTTTACATCGGCGCTTCGATCGATTCGGAGTTGGCCCCAAAGGAGTCTCCCCCCTTAAGTTTGAGATATTAATTCATAAAAATTTAAATTTCCATAAAGATCTGCAGTCTACTAATGAGTAAACGGTGGGTGTTTATGCGAACGTATATTATTTATCGTCTAATTTACTGGCATTATAATTAAAACAAAATTTGAGCATCCTGTTGAAGGGTCTGATTAGGCTTTGAATGCAATAAAAATCTCGTCAAACTTCATTGAACTATTAATTACACAGAACTTGAGAGAATCGTGTATATTATGAGTATGTACTATCAGCAGCCTACTTATCACGCGAATGTTGCTGTTTTAAATTGTGTGTAGAATACAATAAAGTATACATTAATTACTTTCAGTAATCTGATTATTTGTGAAACAATATTTAAATTCAATTAAATGCGATTCTTATTTATAATTAATAAACAGAATAGAATCTTTTCACCGTTCCATACACGTAATACAATATTTAACAACCTTGAAAAATCAAAGAAATACATTTAATTACAATTATTTATAAAATACATATAAACGATAAAAATCACATACTTTTATGTTAACTCACGTAAATCTTCCCCTTCAATGAAAAAATAGCTTCATCCATTTGTAATGAATTAATAACAGTAGAGTTATGAAATTTTAATTTCGCGACTCTAAAATTACAGTTTATGTACTTATAACATCCAAAAGTTATTTTCATATTTATACAAACAACTTATACTACTTATTCATGACCATATACAGGGTGGGGCAATAACTATGTCTACTTTGAATATTGCCGTTATTTGTAATAATATGAAATAATGTTATATACAAAACTTATACGGTATAGAGGGGGACATATTGTGACATAAACATTTTCTGCGTGGGTGAAGGCATAGAGAAGATTTCAAGGTCATCTCTATTTTGTTTAATGGAATGCTATGTTTTTTTTATACGCGATGTGATAGCCAGCGTTGAGACAACTTCAGCGAGCTATCATTGAAGGTCATACAAGGTCAAATGTGGTAGTAAAATAAACTTTCTTACATTGCAGGAGATGCTCCAAGTGGTGACCGTTTGCGTCAATGCAAAGTTGCAATCTTCGTATCGCTGCATCACGTACATGTCTTATTGTTTCTGAACTTATTCTAGCACATGCAGCAATTATCCGTTGTTACATATTTTCTGGTTTTGGACGACACCTTTGTATCGCAACTAATACCCAACTTGATGATGTTTATCTTCTTTAGTATTAGTTTTTTACTTTATTCCCCATCCTGAAACACCTGCCTTACGGAGATGAATTCTTTAAAGCACATTGTATTACTGGCGAATGATAATAAATTATATTGACAACAATTGATGTTGCGTTGTGGAGCTTTAAGCAATGATTTTCGTTTCAAAGCAATGACTATACGCCTTCAAGAAGTGGTGAGGTCCGAAGTGGAAGGCGGTCTCTCAGGACCAGCAAACCCAATACCAAGTCAGTCGATAGACTGCGGTTGTACACAACTGCGATGTCCAAGGCTAGCGAAATTCGCAACACGTCGATTATTCGTTGGGCTACTAGCATGGGTCGGTCTAGTTCAAGCGGCTGCGTATGCGTACTTTTACGTAGCTGCACCCACAATCGCAAGAAGATTTCAGTTCGATCCTTACATAATGGGCAAGTATCCACTGATACATGTATTTCATCGAAACCCAAAGCAAACACTATAATTTGTTTCGTCAAAATATCAATTAACTCACGCACATTCTGTTTAGAATAATTACAGAAGTGTTAGGTTGCTGCACAAACTCTGTCATTCAGATGTTCTAACGATAAAAAGGAAGAGTTCTGTGAGACGACCATAAATAATAAACACAAAAAATCTTCATAGTATGCACAAAAACAAAAACGTACTTTAATACGCAGAGGGTGATTAAATGGCCTGATACAGTATAAATAATTATACAGGATGCGGCCGAAATAATGTTACAAGCGAGAATAGATTTATAATGCAAAATAAGTCAAAAGTGAAGAGTAACATTTTTTCTTACCAGGCTTTTTTTTCAAGAAAATCGGGTTTAGGAATTTTTTTATTCCTTACCATTTGTACTTATTGTAAGTACAAATATACAGGGTTTCCCAAGTCAGGTAGTCTAACCGGACAGGAGGTGCTTCTATAGGAAAAAATGAATTGAAAAAGAAGAATAAATTTTGTTCATTTCATGTCTTGTTTTCGAGAAAATCGAATTTGGAAATCTATTTGAAATGCGTATATTTATCATGGTAGTAAGTAGAAACGGAATACAGTGAACAGACGCGCTAACCAAGTCCTATTCAATTGCACACGTATCCAGCAGATATTCAAATTGGATTATCTCGAAAACGAAGCCTTAAATGAAAAAATGTTATTCTTCCTTCTCGACTTATTTTTACATGTAGAATCGTCACACATCCGATTGTACCACGATTTTGAGGACACCCTGTATGCACTGCCGCTCATAGGTATTAGGACACCTGATCTGCATGAAGAAAATGTGATGTTCCAGAAAAATTGTATATTTTAAGCCACTTTTATCACTGCATATTAACATAAATGTTCTCCATCGAGCTTTAATGTTCCCTTTGTTTAATTAGATTTTCGACAATTTCGTAATGCATTATTACATTTACTTCATATTTGATATCTGTCCTAATACGTCAGAACAGAAGTGTACGTATCAGATAAATTTTCACTGTCGTATTATCGAAACCTGAGCATCGAACGAAGAAACATTATTCCTCACTTTCGATTTATTTCTGCTTTTTTATTACCTGGTTAAGCCACTATTTCGATCGCATCCGGTATATTTCATTTCAAGTAACCTTGTTCCTAGTTTCGTACTATTACTAATTTTACGTAATAATTAAGACTTGATTTACTGTTAGTGAAATTAAGTAAAAATTGAATTTTCCAGAATGGGTCCTTGCAATATCCGATACGATACCATTCGTCCTTGGTTTACTCATTGCATATTGGGGTGACAGAATTCACAGAGCTGCCTGGATCGGAGGCATAGTTCTTTTACAAAGCATCTCATATTTCATCATGATTATTCCTCATTTAACGCACTCAGTCAAAGTAATCGATGAGTCTGAGAACGTCACGCATATGTCATTATACGCAGGTAAGCGAAGAAATTGAATTAAACTACTTCTAACTCTCATACATATAGGAATCACTTTTTGCGAAGTCAATTTCAGAAAAAAAAAAAAAAACATACATACATAGTAGAAAGCAAAAATGATAAAATTTATTATTAATTACCATTAGACTATGAATGTTTATGCAAATATGGAATCATATGAGTTAATTTCCAGTAACTGAAATCAAACACAATCTCATATACATAAATCAAATACATATCTCATTAAATTTACTCTAAAGTAAACAGTCCAATACACTGAATTTTAAACAACCGAATATGTTAGAAATGTATAAAATCTGAAGTCTAATCGTTATTAATACCTACAGACATTATTTCATGTATTTTTTCTGTTTCTCGAAGTAAAATAAGATTATTATTTAGGTACTCTTTATACTGACAGAATCTGTACGTCTTAATTACACTTCTCTTTTTGCAGATGATAATCGAGAATTGTGTACAGACGGTTTGTCTCGAATCCTCGCGAAAGAAGATGAACCATGCCACTTTACATTCGCACTTATGATCGTCGTACAAATTATATCCGGAATTGCAAATATTTCATATTATGCACTAGGTATTTCTTATTTAGATGATAATACCAAGAGGAAAAGTGTTGCTGCTTTTATTAGCGTCGTTATTGCTGTGAAAATTATTGGCGTTCTTTTGGGTTACTTCCTCGCGTGGGCATGCCTTGGGTAAGCAACCTTGTTAGAAATATTTACATACAAATATTAATAGAACCTTAGCTCACGCCACACATCACACGAGTGCGAATTAGGATTTTGAATTTTTGGTGATTAAAAACTTAAAGAGAATAAAAGCAAATTGAATTCACAACATATCCTTTAGAATCAAATTTCCTCAAAAATTCAATTGTAGAAATTGCAAATTTGAGAAATAATTCTTTAACTATGAAAATTTGAAATCGTTATGTTAGCTAGATAGAATATTGCAAACGAAACAATGTTTTGCAGGTGCAAATTTGCATTAGTGTGGTGTTTGTTATATGAAACGAACATTGTACATGTCAAAATAAAACGAGAATCAAGAATGATAAAACTGTGTTCGAAGCTTCCTTTTCGAATTATTAACAGTTAAATCTTAGGACTAGAAACGTCTGAAATCAGGCAACCTGCGTACAAGCGTTAAGCGTAGGGCACGACAATAGTGATACATACAGTGACGTCGATTCCAAAAAATAAACCCTTACCTCCTAGCCAGAGAAGTGATGTGTAACACCAGCCTGGACTATTTTCTTGCAACACTTCACGAAAAAGCACAAACGAATTGATGCACGATATTAAACGTGATTAGTCGTTCAACTCCACAACGGAGATCACAGCACACATATAGAACAGTAAATAAACTAACTTAAACGAAACGAAAACTCACTGTAATGAATAAATTACATTAATATTATAAAAATAATTGAAGGCCATTTTGTACCGAGTAGATGTGTTCGTGTTGATGACTGTTACTGAACTAAGGAAACGTTATTCGAACCCACGTAAAGGACAAAATATAATAAAAATGCGTAAACAAGGAAATGTATTGCTAACGGTTCTTAGGATCCCATTAATCACGACTGACCTGCAAATATTGGGATTGTATCTTGTCAGGGCGTCTCTTTTTTTAGGGGATGCCAGGTGTACATACCGTGACTAACGTGCCTTACGCTTATCACTTGTACGCAGATTGCGTAGTTTTAGGCGCTTCTGAGCCCGAATTTTGATAGTTAATAACTTGTAAACGAAGCCTCCAACACAATTTCGTCATTCTTGATATTCGTTTTATTTGGACATATAAAATCAATTCTTAAAGTCTCTGATATCAACAGCCGAACACCCTGTATATTTTGGACCACTTTTGATATTTTATACTAGCAGAAGTGTTATACATCGAGCTTTAACATGCCCTGAACAAAATTTATTTCTGACCTTTAATAATTTCGTAATACCTGATTATTAGACGGCGAAAGTTTATGCAAATTCACAATTTCAGATACTAGTATCTAAAAATTAAAATGGAACAGAATTTTGAATTCTCTGCCTGAGGCTTTGATACGTTAATAGTAGCATATAATAGTATTAAACTTTATTGAAACCTTTATTTTATTGCATTTTCCAAGTCAAAAGATGCTATAAATGCATAAACTTCCGCAGTATAATGATTATATTTTCTTCATATTCGATTAGTGTCTTAATAGTTGTAGAGTATAGTTAAAGAGTATATCCTAAATGCATAAAATCCGATATCTATTCTTTAGATACGAAACTGATAAACAATAGTAATTTCTTTTCTTTCTTTCATTCTTATAATTTCTTATAACTTTTAGTGTTAAACGTTTATAAAAAGTTATAAAAGATTATAACTGTACAAAGATAATAAAATAAGGGATAAGTAATGGTAAGGAAAGAATTAAAAAAATTTCGTGTTTAATATTTCATTTACAATGCACTATACATGCCATCATTAGAAATTCAAATGTAAATGTCTTCATAGAATATCTTTATACATATTAGTATTTTTATAGAATATGCTATTGAAGATATGTTTTATACTAGTTCAGAGTGTCTTGTTTCTGTAGGTTAGATGCAGTAACACTGTCTTCTATAGAAACCTACAGGGAACAAATTGGTGCATGGTGGCTAGGCTTACCGATTCTCACAGTATTACTTATAGTTCCCGGTTTACTACTCGCATGGTTCCCAAGAATGCTGCCATCTGAGGTGATTACTAGATCTTACTATGATCAATTTAAATGGGAAAAATATAAATTCACTACAAATATAACGTAGATAAAATATAAATATAAAAATGAAGTATAACAGCGTGAATTAAATGGAAATTTAACTATCTTCCGTCCTTTGTGTCAATTTGACCCATTTTTTCCCTAATTGTAAAACAAGACATGATGTTATTTTGTCATATGTAGAGACTTTTATTTTAAAGAATTCGCAAATTTAATTATTTATGTCTTTATTATATTATTGTTTTACCACTATGTCAATTTCATAATGACGAACAAATTAAGTTGGGAAAACAAGGGTTAAGTTCTTCAATAAAACATTTCACTAAAATAAAAACAAAATATCTACATAAATCAGTGAATTTCATATACTTCTTTATTTTCCTATGTTCCGTTGACTTGCATACTTTGTAAATTGCATAAAATCTGCAGTTTAATTGCTACAAATGTTTCACATTTACGTAAATTGATCATAGCAAGATCCAGCGATACGTTGCACATAACTTCTTCATAATTGTTTATAATTTTGTTAGGTTGTAGAACTGGCCGCAGCTTCGTTGCTAAACATAAATTCTGGTAGATACAATCGATCGCCCCGGCGAATAATCAGCGATAAAGTAGGCAGCCCCAGTTTCCTGCCATCAGTGGGTAGATTGTTCATTAATAAAATTTTAGTGTGCACTGTCCTCGCCTGCACGTTCTATACCATGGCAACTCTAAATTTCATGGGTTACGAAAACCTGATCACGCAATCGAGGTTTCACGTACCGAAGCCGACTGGAATGTTACTCGGTTTCAATGATCCAATGACCTCTAGGCTATTATCAAGTAAGACAATACATACCCTAACGAATTGTAAAACAAATTCTCTGAAACTTGTATCGTGTAATTTCGATGAAACTTCATTGCAGACATTTTGAAGCCTATTCTGATTGGTTTAATCGTGGTAATTTCGGGCCTGGTAATAGCGAAAGCGAAACCCAGCTCGAGGGGTGTTGTGGGATTCGGTATAGTAATGACGGTTTTGTCAGCTGTAATTATATTCTCGTTGACTGCTACATCCTGTCAGAAAAGGCCTATTGTCGAAACCGACAGCAAAGGATCGTAAGTATATTCGTGATCCATTGAGTATGGAAAGACCGATATGACCAAAGTAACCTAATAGGATTTGATATTTTATTTTTTTTTCATTACGTACTAATGATTGTTTTTGTTTTCGAGGTTCGAAAAATTTAGAATAGATACAAATAAAAGTAGACTATATTAATAGACATACGAAACTATTCTGAAATTGCACATTTTTAAAAACGGCCAAAGTTGCTATTTGAGGTAGATAAGAATTCCGATCGGTCTAGTGTTAATGAAACTCTATTCAAATTCAACAAAAAGAGAAAGAAGATATAAAACAGCGTATGTGTAGTAATCAGACTGCAATTACGATACCGTGTTGTATAGTGTCAAACATAATGGATACCCGTTCGATACGTCTACAAATGTAGAGGAGTTGCATTTTGTCGATTACATAAAAAATATGGGAAATGGTTACCGGAAGAAAAATTTGTATTCATTCCACAATTTCATTATTTTGATGTACTCAATCAATCCTCAAGGAATACACTAAGCTTTTCTAGCACCGGTATATCGATACTTTCGAAGTAACGCCAGACAAAGTATCAATATTTTAGTGAAATATCAAATGAATATCGACCATTTTGTAAGTATCAAATGGATGTCGATAATTTCGTTAGGTATCAAACGGGTATCGGTACCTTCGCGAATACCAAACGGGTATCGATACCTTCGTAAAATACCAAACTGATACCGATACCTTCGTCAAATATCAAACGGATATTGTTTCGGTATATGTAGTACTTGCATTGATTTGGTATGGCTTCAAAAAGTATTGGTTTCAAAAATTGATACCAAATACCCAAAATTTTAAAATTTTTGATACTTCGCATTAAGTTCTTTGCTGTCGAATTATTCGAATATTGCCAATATGTATCGGCATCGGCCCCATCACTAGCTATGTGCAAGTAGTTATCGATCTTCTAAATATTTTCCACATTAATGATCAGACTAATACGACACATATTGATGATACTCAAACAATTCGATACCTAAGTACTCAGAGGGAAGTATGGAAAGGCACTGAAATCTGGGATAAACGGTATCATCGTTCGATGCCTCTGTGACCGATACTGTAGTTAATATCAATTCTGTAGCAACCGACTAGAAGAACAGAATCGAATTTTTCAAGTACCTTATGAATAGAAGAATTCCTAATTCGTTTATGTGGTATTCGTATCAATACTTTCGTGAAGTATCAAACGTACATTCATACTTTCATAGAAGTATCAAATCAGTACCCATATTTTCGTAGAAGTATCAAACAGATATTGATACTTACATCTTAGTATAGAGGGGGTGTCGATTCTTTTGGTGTTCATACTTTGGATATTACTCGACACCAAATCAAAGTTTACGGTTAGCTATCGATAGCATCGATGCGATATCAATCCCAATACTGTTCAACATACCTATTATTTATTATGGTAGAATAGTCCACTAAATCTATAAATACGTTTTTTTCAGAATTAATTTGCTGCAATACTGCAACAGAGATTGTGGTTGTTCGAAGGACGCCGATTTCCGTCCTGTTTGCGACAGCAAAGGCATGTTCACATTTTACAGTCCTTGTCACGCTGGATGCACCTCCTCCGAATACAAGAACGGTATAACGATTTACAATGGTTGCAGTTGTATAAAAAATTCAGAAAATATGGAGGCACATGATGGGCCTTGCGACTCGAATGCCTGTCAAATCGGTTGGTTAACATTTGAGGTAAACATTTTCATACTTTATTCACATTTAACTGTTTTGTTGGTTTACAAAACTCTCTGAATTCTGTTCGTAAATTTTGCAACGAGACTAAAATTGTCCTTTAAAATGTGATATATTTTCTTCCGTTAAAAAGTTAAAATCAATTCGGTAGCAAAGTGTTTAAACAAATGGCTACCCACCCAGAAGTGGAAAAGTGTAAGGACTGTCACATCTAATCTATCTAATTTCCGGGGTTTCAATCATTTTTTGGTAGTTATTCTTAATATTGATTGACTTTAACTTTAGATTTATATTCCATAATTTTCTTCTTCAGTTTGGCACTCTAGTGGCGTACGCGTTGATCGCCTCGACGATCGTGGGAGACTTGTTAGTAATTTTGAGGTCAGTCAACGCACAAGATAAGGCCATCAGCATCGGTTTCTGGATGATGTGGTCTGCCATTATTGTGAATGTACCCGGAAAACTTATATACGACACTATAGCGAATCTGACCTGTCAATATTGGGGAACTCAGAGATCGATTTGTCGCCTCCATCACAGCATGAAGCTCGGGAACTATTTGTGTTACCTAACGGGTTCTATCTTGGTCTTGTGCGCGTTACTAAAAGTCCTGTTGTGGTTTTTCTGCAAAGACTTAAAACTTTGCGATCAAGAAACCAAGGAAGTCCCATCCGGAGCTGAGATGCAAAAACTGATGTCAGATCCACCCAAAAAACAAACGGAGCCATCCGATACAAGCAATAACAGTAAGTTATATCGATTACTTCATTTGATTATCCAATAGAACGATTCAAAAATTTCATATTTAAAACAAGAAGCACCAATTAGTTATCACGTACTTGCAGGAAAAATGTAAAAAATTCAAATACTTGATAATGTTAGTATTTATCGGTGTCAATAGAAAGAGAATTACGCTAAAATTTAAAGAGAAATGAAATATTACTGATAGTTAAAATAGCGACGAAACTATCTATAAATCAGCTACTGTATATAATATTGAAAAATTTGCAATTAGCATAATTAAATATAGATAACACTTTTGCCATTTCCTGTTTCCTAGTGATATTATCTAAAAAAAACCGTATACCCAAACGGACTTACCCGATTAATTTGTACAATAAGCGTTCTGCTATGAATAAAAATATGTAATAATCGCAGTCCAACAAAAACCACTAACAAGGAAACTTCGGTAACAGGAAAACCCCATTTTTTTTAAACTTTACGGGTTTGTAGAAGGCCTCAGCAGAAATACCTATCACAAAATTTTGTGCTACTTTTTGATTCTCCAGGGTGAAAACCCTTTAATGCTTAATATGTGTTTTCCTATTTACCTGTATATTTTGACAATTATAGTGGATATAACAAAATCGTTAAAATAAAAATGTAGTAGTTTTTTATGCTGTATAAAAATGTACTATGAATTTGTTAAAAATTATCTATTTATTTTTTTAAGCAACAAATTTTTAACAATTTCATTGCATACTTTTATACAGTATACAGAAGGTTTACAGGAATCTAGGAAAACACACATTAACCTTGAAGACGTTGACTGCCTCAGTGAAAATGGCCGTACGTGACCACACATAATTTATTTCGTTTTTTAAGTTACAAACAGTCGAAAACATATGCGTCTAGTTAATACTGGCTATTCATTTTGTATTTGAATAATCCAGCCTCTTTGCAATGTACGTGTCACCCATATTTGGGTGACGAGGCAGTCAAAGTGTTAAGGGATCTTTTCACCCAGCAAAACCAAGTAGTAATAACACAAAATTGCCTAATACTTCTATCGAGATCACCTAAAAATCAGCAGTTTCAAAAACAACGGAAATTCCGGGTAACCAAAATTTCCTTATAAGCTATGAACCTTAACCTCGAATATAATTTTATCCTTTGTAGACAATACGGTACAAGTAGAAGTTACCAACGAAGTAGCATCGAAGTCGACAGAATCACTCAACGAAGGCCTACAAAAGGAAGAAGACCAGAAACAAGCCGAAAAAGTATTACTGAAGTACGGTCCCCTAGGACCAGGTGATCGTCGAACAGGTTCGAAGTCATCGCTCAGCCAAGCATCACAGTCACGGCGGTCCGAAATACGGAATCTGGACTCGGAGGATGAGCTCAGTTCTAGCGACGAGGAGGAAAAGAAGAACTCTAGCTCGAAGGTGGCATACAGACCGTTGGACCTCGATTCAGATGTGGAGAGTGATCTGAGCAACACAGAGCCTAGATCGCGTAGACGTATCCTCAGCAAGGATTACGACATTGCCTACGACGATAGCCAACCATCATCCGCGACGAGTTCGGTACCGAGACGGGAATTCCCGAATCCTGCTAATTACGAGGATCCCAGACTGGCCAGGATGACGAATCCGGCGGATCAAAATGGTTTTATCGATGGATCATCGAAGACCAACAGCTTTGAATACTCGACGAAGGGACATGGGAATGAAACGCAGAAAAAAGGTGACTTTAACGAAATTGGTATACCTATTGTGGATCCTGATCTTCCTAAGAACAACGATCAGCCTTTCATAAAAGACGTGAAGTCACTGATCAATCAGTACGAGCATAATGCTGAGCAACAGATAGATGAGGATCATGAGTCGGTGAGATCTGGAGAAAGTGGAAATCATCGCCTGGAATATAGTCAAACTACCGGAGGATCGACCCGAATCACGTGAAAGCAATAGTCCGAAAGCATCTAGCAAAGGTAGTAGGGGAACGTTACACACCGATTTCTAACTTTTAACATTGGGGATCGAGCCAATCGAGTGAAAAGTGTAAGGACAATCGTTTCAATCAGTTATACTGTCCACTGCCTATCTACTTTAATGTTTTTATATGAAGATTCATGAAGTTGTTTTATTTATTTAATAAACTCCGTTCTGTTTTTCTTTGCTCGTTTAATACTGATCTGGTTCACAGGATATAATATTACTAGGTTGTTGCATGGTAAATGTCGTTTTTTAACATTCTTCGTTCTAGCCATCTTGAATTCGTTAAACGCGAGATCAAGAATCTTGTAACTCGTTGACTAGATGGACCTCGTTTCGATTAAAAATCTTTGTCTCCAAATAGATTATGATTATTTAAGTTATACACTTCCAAAATGACATTTATTACGCAATAGCTTAATACTTGTAAGGTAGCCTAATTTGATATGACGTATTGTTTCCTACATTATATATTTCTAAATCATTCGAATACCTTAATTATTACACCATTATTTTGAAAGCACGTTAGGTATAAAGTAAGTATGCGTATTTGTAAATATATGTATGTTTACAAGGTGATCGAATAACTTCTACCACATTGAATATCTCCGTTATTTTTAGAGATACAGACAAACTTTATTTACAAAGCTTGTGTGATAAGCAGGGGCCCATAATGTGTATGTAATAATTTTTTTCTAAGTAGAGAACTTTTAGAGATTTCAAGGTCACCTTCATTTTCTTAAACGGCATGCTATACCTTCTTATTCCTAGTAAAATAGCAGATATTTAGGCGGTTCCAACAACCTCTAATATAAAGTTATTTGACAATAAATGAAGTTATAAAACAAAAATTGTTACGTCACAAGAGGCTTTGATAATTCGATGATTGTGATGTTGCATCGATGCAAACGCACGTCACAAAGAGGATCTCTTATGATGCAGAACTCCCTTATTTATTGTTTTACCCCTTATTTGTTGGTTTACTTCCTTATTTATTGTAAATGATCTATAAGAGGTCGATGGAATCGTCTAAACATCCGCTATTCTACTGGGAATAAAAAGGTATAGGTGACCTTGCAATCTCCAAAAGTGCTCCGTATAAAAAAAAATTATTACTCGCATGCTATGGGCCGCTCCTCGCCATACAACATGTGTGAATGAAGTTTTTCTATATGTCTAAAAATAACGGAAATAGTCAACGTGGTCAAAGTTCTTAGGCCACCCTGTATATTAAGGAAATATTTCGTGTTAAGTCGGTAGACGAATTAATTATAGAAAATCTGTTTGACGATCAACGGGGGTAATGTTAACCATAGGACACTTGAAAGTTAGTTTTAACAGTTTTGTACCGTTCAATTAATTTACAAAGGTATGAATTATATAGGATAATGTTTCAGAAAGATTTGATAAATTATATGTAACACAGACTGTGTTAAAAATAGGTAAATAAGAAAGAAAAAGGAAGATTCTACATATTCTGCAAAACGTCTAATAGTTATTACTAAATTGTAAAAACATGATAAAATATTCTTTTCATTGCAAGTATCAATAAAAAAACTGTTTTTAGCGGTAAGATAAGTTTCTTCATATTTTTGTGCTATTGATGGTATTATTATATTTTTAAACGAATGAGGCCCTTATGAGAGAAAATAACATTCTGTTCAATTCCTCCTTGCATACATTACTGTATTAAATACAAATTTGCACAAACATCCACGGTCGAAATCAGGAATAGTCAATGGCCATCTCCTCTGAAAAATAACATTAGGAGTCGTCAAACTGAGATAAAAAATTCTGATTGCAATTAATGAAGAACATGGTTGCATAGAAAAATTTCTCGTTGCAGATGCCATGTCTAATAACCAGGTGATTATATTAATATATAATTATTAATTATGTGTATAGGTTAAAGATATCTACATAGCCATACTAACAGTCTTACAAGCTAAATGGATCAAAATTAAGAACTCGTTGACAATAAAGGAATCGATTTACTAAGACAATAAAAGTTTACTCGTTAATAGCATACTTAATGTAAATTATTCACAAAAACACTACTTTTACTTTAAATATTCTGATTATCCTTCCACAGTCTCTTACAATTGATTGTATATGCTCTTCTGTCTGAATTTCGTTAACCGTGTGATTTAAATAACTACACTATATTTTCACATAAATGTAGCATAAACCGATTCAATGGTCGCAACCCGATCTAGAATTATACACTCACTCAGGTCGTGCATTCCAAAGTCCATTCGCATAATTGTCTTAACAAGCAGAAAGTTCAATCAGCAATCCAATGAAATTTGGTTTACAGCCACTACAGTGTTTTTATTTTCAAAATCCATTCACAGATTTGTATCATCGGAACACAATCTGTACCCGTAACGTCAATCACAATGGTTGTTTGTTTTCTTTACAATTTCAACGCAGCCTCGACGGTTTTTTTTTACAGAAACAAGGCACAGAGTACACCGTATAGTTAAATATAAGAACAACAAAAATAACGCATCCTTCCACCAGTACGTATATAATTTCTGTCTTTCGTTATCATACTTCGTATATACAACCGCGGACGATCGATCGACTCGATTTTTTCGAAGTCACTGCGATAGAATCCTCGTTTGACGCGCACGCTTTTTACAGACAGCGATAACGATACACCGTTTGGTAACATGGACGAGGATTATAGAAAAAAAAATGTAACCCGTTTCCCCGATGGACTCGGATGCTGCGACTCGCGAACTATCCAACGGGTAAGTTCTATCCGAGGTACTACGAGCTTTTCATTAAATATCTAAGAAGATGCTTAAGGTACTTGCAAAGTCTTTATTCGTCGGCTCTCCCCTTTCTCACCATCAAATCCCTTAGTCTATTCTGTGTTCTTTGAGTTTTTGTTTTTTTTTCGTATTCACCGACTATTTCGCCCGACCGAGCCTTTTTACTGCCACCGTCACGGAAGCAAAGCGATCTGACTTGGATCATTAACGATCTCGCGCTCTCACAGTGTCTCACCGGGCTCCTCGGCTATGTCTTTCAGCTCGATCTCCTCGTCGAAGATCTTCACGTCTTTCACGAAATACCAGACACCCACGTCGAACAACGTTCCGATCGTCACGAAGCCTATGGGAAACAGTAACGTGAAATTAATGAACTAGCATCTGAAGAAGAAAATTATTGTTGTTTACTATTTTAAAAGTATATTGGTCGGTATACCATATGAAACGTTGATTTTAATGATTGGTAAGTTTCTTTACGCTTTTTATCGATGTGCATAACAATTTGTAACACGAAACAATTTTCTGTTGTGTATTAGGTTGTTGCATAATAAATGTCGTTTTACACAGTCATCTTAACCCTTTATGGCCTGACAGTACTTTGTAGTACCACTTAGGTGTATTACAATACCATTCTACCATGAACCAATATGCTTAGAACCCTATTAGGACTTATTAGTATTCGCTATTTCTCTGAAGTCCTCCGAGATGTTGTAAAATAGTGCCAACACGCAAAAACATCATATTTAACTATTTGAATAAAAAAAAATATCAGAAATAAAAAAATCCTATTTGAACAGTTTTCAAGTATCTGGAATAAAAGTTGCGGTAAAAAAAAAACGATAACATAATTCAGGCATTAAAGGGTTTTAATTATTGAACATCAAGAAGCTTGTACCTTGTTTGGAAGAGTGTGTCAATTCAGATGGATCTTATTTAGATTAAAAACTTTTCTTTCAAAATAAGTTATAATCGTTTACTCTCAATATTTCCAAAAGGACATTAATTATGCAACAACCTAATGAATAAAAAAGTATACAAGGTAGGCCAAGATGGATGGTATAATCGAACAGGAGGTTATTCCGCATACAAAAATAAGTCGAAAATATAGAAAACAAATTTGTTGTATGATGCTTTGTTTCACAGATAATCTGTCGAATACGTTTACAATTGAGTAGGACTTTGCTCACGCGTCTGTTCATAACATTGAGTTTCTACTTGTTATCAGCACGAATGCATACATGTTAGATCAATTTTCAAATACAATTACCTCGAAAATGAAGTATCATAGAAAAGTTTTATTCTACATTGTCGAATTATTTTTGCATGTTAAATGACCTCCTGTCCATTTGTACCACCTTTCCTGGTCCATCTTGTATATGCGATTACTATTATAAAGGATTCATTAAATTCCTTGTTTGCAATGGCCACGTACGCTATTGAGTCCTCACCATTTTATGTTTTCAGTGTTACAGTTTTTATGCAGTAGTATAGTAAAAATGATCACCATTTGTATATTAAGTCAGTACGCTGAATTGAATGTCAACTTACTGGCTGCTGTAAAGTTTAGTAGATATCTCAATGTTTCGCCATTGTAGAGCCAACAGTTTCCTGTACCTGAACACGTTTTTCCCCACACGAGACAGGTCTTATCTAGAAACAGAAAATATTTCACTGTACTGTATCAACAACTAAATAAATTCGACACAGGTAAACAAAGAAAGGCAATCAATAGTGTCCAAATTATTCAGAACCTAGCTTAAAAAACAGATTCTGAATAAAGACAGTAAAAAGAATATATATGTATATTAGAATTTACAGTTGTTATTGTAATTAATAATTATGAAATTATTGGTACCGTAATAAGAGAAGCAATAAAAACAATGTAAATATGTAATTAGCAACTTTAACCAAATTCAACTAGTACATTCATCTTATTTTCGTGTTACTAAGGTCCTTCATAAGAAAAGTAAATGTCTATTTTCTTCTTGCTTTCAGAAATGAAAATACAAATATGTAGATTTGCACATACATATGTAATCCACATATAACTCGTATTAACAAAATAGAGTACAAGTGATAGAGATGTTCAGGACAGGCAGAAGATACCGTAAAATTTAATGATGCAAAAACCACGATTAAACGAAGCAAATATTATTAATAGATCGTGGATATTTACGCATTTATAAAAAATTTCACATATACAATGCAGTAAAATAAAGACTTTAACAAAAGTTTTTTTTAAATAAAAAATTAAGAAACATAAAAAGTATAACATAATAAGACATCTAGTACAGGTAATAAATTTTTATGTGATTTTTATGTTTATAAATAGACTGCGGATCTCATGCATTTATAATTTATACATAGCATATACGACTATGTGAAATATGATGACTGGTAAAGCTAACATCAGATCAGAACATTTTCTGTCTTATACTTGTTATAATAAAATCCTAAAGAAATGGGAAAAAATTCAATCTTCACATCTGCCTTTACAAATCACTTCGAAACATGTTATTTTGCATAACATTCCGCGGTTTATTTAGAAATGAAATTTAAAAAATTTGAATTTACACAAACATATGGAGTCTACAGTCCCTGGCCATATTAATGTGACCACTTGTCTACATTAAACAAAAACTAACTAACACCAGTTTTCTGAAGCATAATTGTTATTCTTTTAATGGAACACCGTGCCATACGGCTAAATCAGTGAAAACATCTCTCCAGGACAAATATATTCCATTACTGGATTGGTCAAGGAATTCCTGACCTTAATCTTATTGACAATCTTTGGGAACTCCTACAACAAGAAATTTCAAAAAAGAAAATATTACAAATAAGAAGGGTTTAATAGAAAAATTATTTACCATTGCAATCATAATGAACATTTCAAAGAAATGTGCTTTAAGTGTATGCAAAATACGCCGCGACATGTACGTGCTGTCATAGTGGCAAGGGAGAGAAATAACCATTTAATAACAAAAAAGTTTGTTTTTCTATCAAATTTTCAAATCGTCACATTAGTATGGCCAGGGACTGTAATTATTAAGTTTAATAGTATACGTCCAAAAATCCAGAACAATGTTTTGTACATCGCAAAGAAATATTCTTACCTAAGATAAATCCAAACAGTATGGGCGAAGGTATGAACGCGAACAAGCTCATAATAGTCAGCCCAAAGCCCATGGCCACAGTCTTATCCTTTTCGTCGACGCATCTGACGGAGACCAAGAAGTTCGACGCCCTTCCGGTAGCGCCGCTGAACTTGAGGAGGCAGACCACAGCCAGAAAGACGTAAAACTTGTGCATACAGTCGACGGGACAGGCACCCGGGACCGCGGTGCCGAAACTTGGCGATGCACCGGGCTGGGTGGTCTCAAACGGAATTTCACTTGTGTACATTGACGTGTTGTCCGTGTACAAATGTGCCGAAGAACGCGCAAACTTCGGCATGATGCAATTACACTCGGTATATACCTTGCTGCCATTACCGCTCATCTGCAACGAAGTAATTGAAAGAATTTATTGAAATTCGACTACGATGAGCCAGTTAAATTAACTGCTTGAGTTTTCTGTGAATTCTTATTTCTTGATGGAGACCACATCGTCTAATATGTAAATTTCTATATCTTGTAGAAATTTACGGTAATGGTACTCTACACATTGATATACAGTAGCTGCCAAAAGTTTCTGTTCAAACTGCAATTTCACCATATCTTTGTCGTAACCTTTGCCAGACCTGTATTTGCTCGAAAGAGGAAGATAGATTATTTTTATGCTAGAAAATCGTTAACATCACCCAACCTGAAGAAGCGATGTCTCTTTAGTATGGGTATATCAAGAGTGTATTTGTATCATATATTTTTAAAAAGATATGTTAAAATATTTTATTATTTAAGTTTGGCCGGAAACTTTTGGCAACCATTAAAGTAATGAAATTAGTGAATGAAACGGAAACATTGTGATAGATTTATGATTTAATTTCAGAAGAAAAAGTATTCTTGCTTGATAAAACTACGAGAGCACACTTATACGAATAATTAAACGATTTACCGACTGTGACAAGGAGTGTGAACCAACTACTAATTATCTTCCACATAAACTCCTGTGAATATCTGTCTTTCACATAATATATAATATTTCCTTGAATGAAATTATGTATGAATCAATTTAACAATACAATTTTCTCTACTATTAAAAAACGAATTCAAGAAACAATAACCTGATTATAAAATCTATACCCTTATGTCTTTAGTACCGTAAGTGAGGGTGACCTTGACTCAATCAGGGTAACTTGGTCCCTAAGTCATAGAATGATCATCCTCGATTTTGCAACTCTTCAAATTATTAAATTAAGTTGATGTATACGTGAAAAAGGTATTTCACGTGAAAAAACCCGCAAAGGAGCTGCAAAATCGAAAAGATCGTTTTCTGACTTTGGGATAGAGTTACCCTGGCTGAGTCAAGCTTACCCCAACTTCCATTGGTACTGCAAACACAATAAGTGTCTAAAAGAACTTCTAGCCTGAAAATATCACCTTTGTTACACTTTTCCCCAAGTCTATCAAATTTTATCAGTCAAACAATTAGTAACTGATTCCCATATAAGTATCACCCCCTGTACAGTAAATCCTCGATAAATGTTCGAAAGCACCTCGGTACTGAACATTAAATGTTTCATAAACTAATGACCATATGTACGCTGAAACAAATATTATTGGCTTCAGAATTCCAAACTCTATCACTATGCTAACGCTCATTACAAAGTCAGCGATACACCTGAGGGCCTCTCCTTGTCAGTGCCGAAGTGTCTTCGAACACTTATCGAGGATTTACTGTAGATTTAAGCTATTAAATTCATGAAATGATATCGAACCTTCACGTTACGACACCCGGCGTGACAAGCTGAAATGAAGGTTTGACCGTGTTCCGAACAGACTGGATTATAAGTAACATAGTCGCAATAGCATTGCTCGTTGCACGGTAGCAGAGTCTTCAGCGCGCCATTCGACTGAACAGCCATTTGACTGTCGTTGGCGGAGCAGCCGAGGAAAGCGTACGAGATCATCCCCATAACCGATATGGCTCCCACCATCACGTTCCACGCAGCCAACCATCTGGCCTTTGGTTTGTACTTGGAAATTACTAAACCAGAAAGTAGTATTCCAAATGCGCTGAATACCAGACCAACCGTTCCGGTGATCAACGACGAAACGGAGGCGGACTGTTTGTATTGCGTCTCGATATACTTCGGCATGAAGATCCAATAAGGCATGTACCCCATGAAGTAGAACACAGTCGCTAGATTGTTGAACATTAGTGTCGTGTTCGTCAGCAGGCGTTTGAACGTCCTCATCATGTCCGAGAAGGAAGCAGGCAGTTCTGGTTCTTGATCGCCTTTTATGTTGGTCGCGGACTTGTTCCTTTCAGAGGCTAAGGCCTTACGGGCCGCGGCTCTGGGTAGAGTTTTCGGGAACAGGGCGATTATGCTCGCGAAGATGAAGAGCAAGAATGCCAGGATGATCCAGCCAAGCCACCAGGCACCCAACCATCTGTTTTCGTTAAAAACAAATCAAGAATTTATGAGTATACCATATGATTACAGCATTTTATAATAGACCAGGGACAATATCATTTCATATAATAGAATAAGTCGTAGATACGAAAAAAAAGATTCTTCGTTTTCAGAAAACTGTAATTTGAAAGTTCTTTAATTATGCATGAACTTCAATGTAGTGGTACAAAAGTTTGAAGTTTGTTTTAAAGTTTTGAATTCAAACGTTAGTCTCGTTAGTTGTAGGCACTGTCAGATAAAGGGTGTAGGTAGCAATTTATAAATCTTACATTAAAGTATGTATATCGCCATTTCTTCAGGCTCGTTAATATATAATAAGATCATCAAACAGACTAACAGTTGCAATAGAACATGGTTGACGAGGAAAGAAATAACTAGTCACTACCCAATATAATATATCGAACCGAGGATAGACGCAGGTAGGCTATGGAACGTTAACCCAACAACAAAGGCTTAGGGTGCGTGCAGTTACAATAAAACTGGTGAATACTATTCGAAGAAAGAATCATCTGTATTTGTAATGCGATAGACATTTATTTGCCTTTAGATGTAGAAGTAAACTATAAAACCTATATTGCAGTGCTGGCTGTTAGATAAACAAATGCAGTTATATATACAGGGTGTTCCAAAAAGATGGGACAATCCGCAACATGAATATTCCTCGTGCAAGTACAAATCGAGAAGTCATTTACCGTTTTGTAATTTAAAGCTCCATTTCCGAAATATTAGCAGTTGAACGAGCTCACACATACACGCGGATACAGTCAAAAAGCGCATGACCCAAGTTACTAGCGTCTACTTCTTGACTGTGTCTGCGCGTACGTGTGGTCCACTGATCAGCTGATTGTTAACTGCTAATTCGAGTTCGTTCAACTGCTAATATCTCGGAAATGGGGCTTAAGATTACAAAACGATAAAGGACTTTTCGATTTGTATTTGCATGAGGAATATGAATGGTCCGGATGATCCCATCTTTTTGAGCCACCCTGTATATAGGAAATAAAATAATGAAGCTATGATTTACTGTATCGATTTTGAAATCTTGCCTAAAAATAAGATTAAGTGAAATATTTTCAATTAATTAGTGAAATAGCCTAAAATTGGACCAAAAGTAGTTGCCTAGATTGGATTTTAAGTGGTTTTGTACTTTACGTGTAGAAAGCAAGCAAGAAGATATACAATGTATAAACTATTGCACTTGGATTCGTTCACTGTGTGTTGGAGTAAGTGCAAAACTCCAAAATTACTACATTGCTTACACTATTAACCATCCTACTCGTAATTACAAAATGTCTTGTACAAACAACATTGCAATACTGGTTCTTTACTATGAGATTTTACAAAGTATGTTGATATCTGAATAATAATTTTTCTATAGTTGTTCTTAAGAAAACGTATAAATTTTACACTTTAATCCAATGGTCCAACTTAAGAAACCAAAGGTTCATCCTGAGAAACGGGTTGCTTTTATTGGACACACACCATAAAAAGACCATAAAAGAAAAATAAATTACACTATTTGAAGACATAAGTAATCACAATCTTTTCTGGTACTCCCAAATGTTAAAAAGATTTTCTTATCAACTTAGAATAATAAATATTTTAGCGGTCCAAATTCGGCAACCTTCCCCTACACTTGACGTGATATTATAATTAACCTAATGTCGATCAACATATACTCGATATTAGTAATTATACCTTGGATCCTGCGTGTTAATCGTGGGCGTTAACGTCGGGCTGATGTAGAATTTCAGTGCGAACGAGGCCAAACCGTATCCGATCGCAGGCCCGAGCATTCTCAAGAAATAGGAGAAGCTAATCAACGCCGGTGTCTTCGATTTCTGTATATTGTCGTCCATATACGACACTCCTAGTGTATAATAAAGCGAACCACCGACCCCCGATACCAGCTGCGCAATAAACAACAGCGCTTGGGGCGCGAAATTCCCGTCCGCGTCGTCGCATTTGTTCTCGCGGTTCTCGTTCCCGAGGCACAGGAACTTCCGGTGTTTGTCAGGTACATTGCTTGTGTTTACGGTCCTAGGTTTCGCACCGTATTCCTTGGTGAGCAAAAGAGCGTCTTCACCCGGGCCGTACAAGAAGTGCGGCAGCATCGTGAGACAGCAAAAGAGGACAACCTGAAGAGAGTAAAACAAACAGAGCTTTTATTGACAGATTCAATCGATAAGAAGACTGGCTGCTTCTGCTCATCAGATTATACATGTATACAGTGTGTCCCACGAACTCTGTCCACGTAAAATATCTTCGTTATTTTGAAAAACACGCGAAAATGTTATTAATGAAACTTGTAGCATTTAAAGAAATATGAAATTGGTAATAATGCTTTCTTGACAGGTGGATGCCTAAAGGAGATATAGAGTTCAGTTTTGTTTTCTTAAATGGAATCTCCAATTTTGTATGCTTGATTTTGTTAGAATAGCAAATTCTAAATATAAAAGACTTTATTCGTATGACATTGCATGATGTGATATGGCATGGTCAACACTTCGAACATGTTTAACGAACCTAATAGGATAAACAAAGTCAAATATCTAAGAAATGATACGTTTTAGGTTAAATGTACCCTAGTACTTTCAAGCATACAAAATTGGACGTACCATTTAAAAAAACAAAATTGATCTCTCTATCCCTTCTACGGATCCATCTGTCAAAAAACCATTGTTACCATGTTATGTACTTCTTTAAATCCTACAACTATCATTCATAACATTTTCAAGTATTGTTTGAAGTAACGAAAATATTTTAAGTAAAAAGAGTTAATTGTGGGAAAATATGTCATGTGTAACATGACAAAACGAGAGAAAATAGCGTTTGATAGATTGATTACTTTTCATTTCAAAACTTTTACACGGGTATTTATCTTTTCATTGCAATCGAATCTCAGGAACCAAATTTATATTATTTAATAATTTATCCTGAAGAGTATTACAAAATTTCTACTGATCAAATTTGAACATCGTGTAACCATAGTAGTCAAACTGTTCAACATTGTTGGTTGAAAAAAAAGAAGCTTGACAAGGTTGTGGATAAAAATGATTGTCACTCTTTTTGAGCGTCAATTGCAGTATCAAATATGATTAGCGTGAATGTTATGTTAGTATGTGTTTCATATTACAGGTTTTTTGTAGTCGTTGTTTACATTAATCCGCGAACCTTACCGAATTGATAATGAAAGTACATACACTTTCTGATATTCATTTTCTGATATTTACATTACCGTCGTCAAACAAGATCTTGGAAAATGCCGTACGGTTCTTCGGGATTTTACGTTCGAGATTATTAGAGTCTACAAAGACGTATTTACTGTGACGATATCTGAACGATTGCTGCGACAATAATTCACCGAGCATTCAACTGTCTTACACGTGATAAACCGCAGGTAATTAATTCGACGAGAATCGTTAATAATGACGACGGAGAAGTTAACATTGTCTCTGAAACAAAAGTTTTCCCCAAAGATGCTATTTCAGCAGTAGGTATTCAGAAAAATTAACTTTTCATTTGACTTTACATATATCAATGAAAATCATTAGCGCAGCTTTCTTCTGTATTGCAAAATTACAAGTGCTCCCTCTTCCTTTCAAAATACTATCTAATATAGCAATAACATGAATTATATTAAATGCTAAAGTTAATTAAGGCAAGGAAATAAACAAATAATTAGTTTCACTTCATCCATTTCCTCCACATGCATTGGAAAATGGACATTTAAGGAAAGTTCATTAATAGTCTTCATAAAAATTCATATAAGTTTCTGCTATAAAATACTGTTCAGTGCTGACAATGTTTGGTGAAAAGATGGGAGCTAAAAATGTCGGAGAAGAGTTATCTTCAAATTCAGTATAATAATTATATAATGGATATAACATGAATTTGAATTTTATTTGACTGAAGAACATGTATAGAATCTATTTAATGTTACATCGTCTAATAAAATTCGTATAACGTTGAATGTAGTATAACGTGCCTGTAATAAAACAGTCATTTCATGTGCAATAATGTAACAATGAATTTATAAAGATCCACGTTTATCGAACGAAATGTGTGTTTAAATAAGTTTTTATATATTAAGCTTTCTACATTATCGATTTATATACAATATTAATAATAGGATATTGTGTCAAAAAAATTTCGAAAGTATGCCGAGAAGAGTTCAAGTAATTATACATGTGAAGAATGACGTGACAAAATATTGATACATATATGATTTGAGAAATTATAATCATTGCCATCTTACTAAAAATATAACAATAGGTTTTGTAATGAAGAAAGTACTATTATAAGTGTAGTAATCCAATTCCGTTCTTGATCAAAATTCAAATAGGTGGTACTTTGAAGTGTTCATAATAATTCGTTCGTCCATTGTAACATTAAAAGTAGCTTAAACTACAATGAAACATTTTATTTAATCGTGCCCTGTCATCTATTCGTTTATAACTGCCTAAAATCCAGAGCATACTAATTACTAACAGCGCTAAAGGAAAATCGAGCAGCACGAATATGTACAGTGAGTCACAGAAGTATTCGTACTCACGCAATTCTTGAATTCAAATAGCTAATAATTATTTAACAATATATATTCTGAAATGTTTATCAATAGGGATATGTAGAGCAATAACTAAGCGTTCGAGTGATGCGTCGTTTATTGAAAAATAACAATTCATAGTAATATAACTGAAACTCACAAAAATATTCGTACTCGTACCAGTTGTAACCTTGTGGAATCAAAGTATTTACAAATATTTGTAAATTTCCTGTGGCCTCTTAAATTGTAAGAATTAGAATACTTTTATGAGATTAAATCTTCGATGATTTGCTTAAGTTTCCATTTACGTATATTACTATTTTCAATTAATGATGCATTATTCGAAAGCATTATTGCACGATATGCCCTTATTTATAAACGTTTCAGAATGTATATGGTTAAAGAATTATTAATCATTCGAATTCAGGAATTGCGAGGGTACGAATACTCCTGTGACTCACTGTATGTATATTATAACGGAGAGATCTATAAGCAGATTGTTTCCGTCGTATGTAATTACTGAAAATACGTGACGCGAGTCGTTCCACGCACACCATCCAGCGTCTTTTCACTGTTCAATGAATGAAGCGCTTAGCTAAGCATACGGTGGCGAGAGTACGATGGTAAGAGGCGTGAATGAGCGTAGAGACTACGATTTCAACGCTTCCTAATTTAATTAAGAACCGACCAACCGGTGTGTTATGACGTCTCCTGGTTCATTCTTCGGGACGTGTGCCGACAGCTGACTACTTTTCTCTGCATTCTGCGATCCCCGCGAAGACAGGGAGGAAACGGGCCACGAAATACCGCGCAACGAATGATTCCGGGTGTAGACAAATGAAATTATTTGGTTCGCAGACTTACGGTGTAGATCCCGAACGCGATCCATCGAGGCCTGTGACCTCTTCCTGCGTAGTAGGACAGGACCACTGACACGAACAGTTGCGAAATATCGTTGCCCACGGTAATAAGACCTAAAGAAAAATGCAGGTTTTATTTTTTCGATACAACAAAACAATTGAATCGACTAACTTTATTGATCCGTAATTGAAAATTTCTATGTTTTCAACTTACTTATTGAGTTGTGATCCAATGGTTTTGGCACTTAATAAGGTTAGTTAATAAATTGTTAAAAAAAAATTAAAAACCTTTGAATCATTGCAGAATCTCTAGATTCCTTGAGGTTACAAAAGTAGTAGAAAATACTAATATATTTTAACTTATATTCACATATGTGAGTTTTGTTATTCATATATTAATATGAAAAAATATATAGTATATTCATAGTATACAGTCAAAATTGGACATTATTTCGAACATGAAAAGGATTTCCTTAGCAATTAACTGCAAAAAGTACATCTATGACTGAAATGATTAATCTAGAAAATATTTCAAAATTTCGGAATGAAAGCCACTATCTTCAATGCTTCTGAGCAACTTTTACCCCTATACATAATTCTACATATATCCTACTATTATGTTAAACTATAAGCGTGTCACTTAAATTCAATTGAACACTAGAACTGCCAGTGTCGAATGTATACTAAATTACGTTGAATAATACAGTAATATACATAATATACGGCACAATTACCACAATATAGTACAGTAAATCAAAAGTCCACATAAATTTTGACAAAAACACTATTACAATTCCAATAATGGTAAAATAAGAAATCTGTTCGGTAGTTCCATTATTATTAAACACTCAACATAAACTAATTATCATAGTTCATTAGTTCTAGTATTAGACTTTCTACGATAATTTCACAAAAATACGCAAGAAAATATCCTCCTAAGAAGATATCCTGTCAGTCATCAAAGTATCTACACGCTCACCTGTGGTTTTCGAAGGTATCTTGAACCTCTTCTCGATGGTGGTAATGGTGCCGTTGAAATACGCGTAACTGGCCGAGAATATACATCCCAGCACACCGTACAGAAATACGTAAGCCTTCTTGTTCGCGAATCTCTGCAATGTCGGCCCGCGTAGACACCATATGCCGCAGGACGTGTCGTCGGTGATCGGTAGATCCTTGAAAACATCCTCCAGTCCCCTCGAGCTCGGTGTCGTCGGCGTTGTAGGGGTGGTCGGTGTCGTACTGGGCACCCTCAACAGCTTCAGGCTCTCGGGCCCGTTCTTCTCGTGGTTGCTCATGTTATTCTTCATTCTCGTCTACGACGACCCGCTGACCCGTTCAGCAAGCAACGCCGTTCCTTCAGCTTCGAGAGAGATCGTTCTGACCTCAATCGCTGGTCGCACGTTTTTGATGCAGCTTCGCCGTTTTCGCGGCCCTTGGCATCGCTCTTTGCCTCCTGTTCGACAACCCTTCTCGGTGCTCCGACGGAGTTCCGTTGTCACGACTTCCGGTCTGCGATGATCCACGGGTCACGTGTTCTCCATGTTTCGGTTGCCGCGTGGTTAAAGACGATCCAACGCGTCCAGCCGATTTTTTTATTTTTATTCACTCTCCCTATTTTCCTCTTGGTTAGGGTGTGCCTAATAGCCTGGTTTCACCTGTGAATTCGAACGGAGGCGGTTTAGAAGCCTGGGCTCTACGATCAGCTCGGATGTATGGAGGATTTTTGCCCGACGACTGACGATACTTCTGAGCAAATACATTTCGAGTGAAAACTCAGGATGACGTTTCTGTCGAATGCTGTGAAGTTTGTGTATGGCCGCGGAGACAAATGACTGTGGTGGGTAATGACAGTTCGAGGAAAATGTAACGTTGTAGTCGGCTGTATACTTTGAATCAGATCCGTGGGCTTTGGGAATCGTTTCTTCATTTGAAACTGATTTCGTTTTTAAAAATTCTATATTTCTTTTAATACAAGTCTCTACAATTAATATTAAAAAACCCGTGAGCACGTATAAATAAAATAAAACGTACAAGTTATTACTGAAATTGTAACGTTTCAATCAGTCCTGATAAGCAGACCGACTCCATAAATTGAAGAAACGAAAAGTTTCAGCATGAGAACCGTATGTTAACCCTTATCTGGTGAGGTGAAAGTCTTACTACTTATTACTTATCACACAAATCTTACAGTACACAAATCTTATTACTTATTACACAACTACTTGCTTTGCATTCTCACGTAAGAAAACATCGAAATAAACAAGCGTCTTTCTAACACTAGGACTACCAAAACAGTAAAAATGACTGGTCATAACAGTGTATTCCCTGAGATTCCTCGCAACATTTATTGCAATATGTAAGTGAAGAAGTTCTCCCTTATACCAACATGATTGAAATAGAAACACATTCATCCTCGGTAGTTCTAGTGTTAACACAGTACCTACAAGTTGCTAAATCCAACGATCAACATCTAAGGAACTATTATTAAACAGTTCAATCGCAGTAGCAAATTATATGCATGAAAAATAGCAAGAACTCTAGTAGAATACCGTAACAATTTCTTCCATAACCCTGATCTAAGGGTAAATTAATAGGCTTCTTATTTATAAGCACTAAAATTTAAAAGTCTAGTAATAGCCTACCGGCCAGTAAAGTGTTAAGTTACTATTCGATACATAACATAAAGTACTCGAAAAATATTCACAGTGTTAATAGGCTACCAGTCAGTAAAGTGTTGAGTAGCTGTTAAATAAAAATAAAGTATTCGAGAAATATTCAGAAGGTGCTCTAGACTCCACCTTACCAGTTAAGGGTTAATGTCACCCCGAAGTCAGCAGAGTATATGTCAAAGAAATAAACGTGATTGCACACATACCCTGGTAACGAAAGAATGTCTCGTGAGGCAGGAATAGTCGATCGGAGGGATGGTCCGGGCGTTTCAAAGATCGAACCGGTACTGGACCGGGAACGGACACCCCGTGGAACCACCGTGAACCGCGGATGTGAATGTCGCGATCAGGCACGGTGTCGCGCGGGAAACATGAACCTCGTGGTCCGAAAACGTACGATATTCTTCCCCAACTGGTATCGTCTCTGCGCCGCGATAGAGACGAAACCCGACTTCGGAACCTCCTGTGGATCCCCACCTTCGACCCTGAAGAGTCGGATCAGACCAACAGAGGATCCACGACGCGGAGAACTGTGATGCATCTACGGTAGCTCAGTCCGCGTTGCTGTTATCAAGCGGGACACATTTTCTGCCTCTCTTCCGACCACACGTTGTCTCATTCCCCCTCCCCCCCTCCCACCCCCCTCTAAAACCCACGATCTATCCCCATCCTCCTCGCTGCCTCTGCTGCTGTCCCTCCTCTTCATTCGCTGGATCGCTCTCTATCTCTATCTCTCTGTCTGGCCTATTCCTATTTATCTTCGTTTCTCGAACGGAGGAACGCTTATCCTCATCTAACACTGTCGGTTTAAGATCTATGTTTGATAATACGTGCTTACGGAGTCGGTATCGATAATACGACCTGGATGGAGTAGGGGCATCGCGCCGATTAGACGCAGACTGAAAAAGTCACGGGAATAATAGGTGAAGGAGGATTTCCAGCGTGCCGAGATAGAGAGTCGGTAACGCCGGGTAAGAAAATTTCTGCGATCTTGTGTAACTTGGAAGTGGTCCGATGCATGTTCGTTGTTTAGATGGAAGTTTGACGTTCGAGAAATGAAAGAAATGCAGATTTTTTTGTGTAATCGTCGTATTTCGCTATGGAATTAAGTCTAGTGACTATGAACTTCGAAATTTCAAACGAAATGTGAAGTGGATTTAGGGTATTGAGTCGTTTAAATTCAAATTTCACCTTTTATTTCCGATCTCTTTTGGGTCCTCCAATTGCAATTTCGTTGCAACGGTTAATAACACTATCGGAGTAGTAAACAATAGTCAGATAAATTAAAAAAGTATGTTTATAGTACCTAATAATTATGTATAGTAAATAATTGTGAAGACACTTAAGGAAGTTTAAGAAGAAACGTAGATGATTTAAGCCTTGCTCTGAAATCTCATATGTAAACTACCAATTCATAAAGTTCTTGTCCTTACCCAAAGAAGCTTTCTTTAACCTTTATCTGGATAGAAGAACCTCTGAGGCCCTTTTATTGTTTCAAAATAAACAATATAATAATATATCATAACATATTGAATAAACTCAATAATGTATTAAATAAACTGAATTAAAAGAAGTATAATAGTTTAGAATGATTAATTTCATCCATTCTGTTCTGAGAGCTTCTGAGGCTCTTCTCGATTCTATCCTGATAAAGGTTAAAACCTCCAATGGAAAAAAATCTCTGCAAATTCTGTCTTCGCAAATTGACCTGAAATAATCTGAATTTGCAGACATAAACGCAGTACAGTTGTCTCCCATAATAGTTCACAGAGCCTTCTTTAGACCCATAACGCTGTACTCAAATTTCGCCTTGTCTAAAACGACTTGTCCGTACAGTAATAATAACCACGCGTGCAATTGGAGAGAATTTGCTTCAATTATTTACTAAGTACCGGTGTATCGAAGGTGACAGTAGTTCGTCGATGTACATACATACACGCCTCCCTGTTCCCTCTGTTTTACGCGTGGAGGGTGTCGGAACTGGGCCCAGTCGAAAGACGACGGATCTCGCTGCGAGATAGACTAGATCTCGGCTTTAGGTATGGTGTCTATGCTCGTTCCTAGTCAACCTCCGCGAGCAGAAGCTCACATTGTGAACCCATTATGATTTAATAGAGCCGACGTGATGTACACACACGCGCACACAAACGCGCCCGGTAAATTCTTCCGTCTATTCCCGCGCATTGCTAATGGCACACACCGAACAGCTATACCGCTAATAGCTGACGGTTAATTGCTGAAATTTCATTCTCGATCGAAGAACGGATCGACCGCCGCGCGACCGTCGTACCCTAGTTGTTTCGTTCATTGGGATACCACCGCGACGCGTTTTCTTTCGTCTTTCTACATATTCTCTTGTTTCGATGAAATTGGAAGGGACATGGTCGTGCCGGTCGTGCGTTTAGAGAATGAACAACCTATGAAATTTTCAGTCTCATAATTCAAGCTTCGACATTTGTTTTATTAAGCATTTCAAACCCTTGCAGGTTTATGTAGTACACGATTATAAAGAAAGCAAAATTTACAAGTCGTCGCATTAGTTCTTAATTGTTCTATCTCCACTAGTTTCTAAACTGAGAAAACTGAGTTTAAAGTTTACGAAGTTTAGTATTATATGTAGAAGCAAGAATCTAGTGAAATAATTAAGCACACTATAATATCATCTACCGAATAGCTGTTTATTACAATATTTAACAAAATTTTATCTTATTAACAACGTAAATTTTTAATTGTTGTTAGTATTGAAAAGTATTAAATTTTTAATTGTAGTTGTACTTAATTTCTTTATATTATGGAGAATTTATATTCTTTGGACCAATGAGACACACGGAGATTAATTAACTGAATTTTTTTTTACAAACTGGAGTTAAAACAGTTAAGAACTCGAGCGGCGAAGTATATAACAGAAGAGAAACTACAGAAGCATGCCTTAGTATTTGAAGTGGCTGTAAACATGTTTAACATTTACCGATAGTTAGAAGCCTAATTTGTGAAACGAATTTATTATCTTTGGTCTAAGCTTCAACATGATTTCAATTCTTTTTGTTCGCTAATTCGAGTGTGTGTTGTTTGAATGAACAATGGAAACATGATTGCTGAAGAAAAGGTATTTTTTACTTTTTTTTAAAATCGTATCGACTACTTACAAGCTATTAATAAAAATGTGAAACACTATCACGGAGTGTATTCTACATGCCAAATTAAGACGAAAATCAAGAATAAGAAAATTGCGGTCGAGCCTTCGTTTCTGAGTTATTAATTGTTATAAATACGGACGAAGTTCACGTAAAATACGTCTGACGCGTTAGATTATTCTACTTCAGAGGCGCATTCTTCAACTGTTTCACGAGTTACTGTCATTCATTTCCTAGGTCATTGCTCAAGTATTAATACCTCAAAAACGAAACCTCGAAAGCAATTTTGTCCTTTTTAATTTTTGTCTTACTTTAGCATGTATAACCCACCTTGTGAAAGTGTCCCACATTTTTATTAACACACTGTACAAGTCATTAGCGACGAAGTACAGTCTGTATCACAATGGTTTAAGGTAATTAGATTTTAGAGTAAAGATTTGATAGTATAGAAAATTGGTTGTGTTCCTTAAGTGGTCCTCTGAAATTAGAGCTGCGTCAAGGTTTATGTGATGTTTCCAACCTTGAGATTGAAATCTTCTGCACTGAAATAGAAGATGGTTATTTGATATACGTTTGTAGCAGTAATTGCATTAAGTATAACAAATCATTATAAAAGAAGAATGGAACAGTATATGGACTACAATTAAAAGAACAAAAATTCATAATATAGTAACGGATTTTTACCAATTAATACCACACAGAGACATGAATAGAAAAGAAAAAACAATTAGATACCTCTAAAATTACACACGAATACTTAATAAAACAAATTTTGTGTACTGGAGTATTAATCTTTTTAACATTGAATGATTCATACTTTCTGCAAATTGACAAAGTTCAATGAATAAATGTTTAATCTAAGGTCTGTTAGAAAACTATTTTGACAAAATACAGATCTAGAAAAAAATTCCAGATTCAGTTAATAAAATTTGTGAATTACTTTTAAAATATTCCTTATTTGTACTATTTCATCAACAATGTTAACAATTTACTAATAACAAATACATTCTTTATTAAACCAGGTTAAATTCTAAAAATTTTTATTTTAACAAACTTGTACATATTTAATAAAGCATAAACAACTTTACTCTTTCCTAATAATCCTCTTGATTTAAATCTTTCGTACATACCAAGGTCTCGTATAAAGAATCTTGTTAAGTTCCACTGATTTTTGGTTTCCGTTAAAATTGAGGGGTTACTGCATACATATTTTTAGATCATTTGTAAGCAGATACAAATACAGTAATTCAATTTTTTCCAGAGTTTTAATCTTGTAAATATTTACAAAAATTCTACAATTAAACGAAAATAAAAACCGGTATAATAAATCAAAATTGTTATCATTAAATGACCTATTCATTGGTTCTTTAATAATTATTCCATGATATGTAACTTAAACAAACAGTTTTCAGTAACCCAAACGAACGTAATACAATGGAAGACATTGTGAAATCGATTAAAATCTTGTTATCACTATGGCTGAGATAATTAGGCGATATTAATAACCGTGCTCGAATACACGAATGCACGTGTCTGAGCTTACAGTAACGTATCTCCATGGCACTTGGTCTATAGTAGTGAAAATCAGGAAACTCGACTTACAAATAAGGAAGCTTGGTTACGTGAATTTGCAATAATGTAACTCGTCATGCACTTTTATCCATCTCAAAATTGTAAATGGTAACGCAAATTTATGTCCTCATAGATTAATTTACGAAAACACAATTATAGAAATATTTATTCCCTCTATTACGGATTTTATTAATATAAATATAAAATATGAACTTGATTAAATATTATGAATGTTTCATTTTATTGTCTTTTAAAATCTATGCAAGAGATTTAGAAATACACCTACAATGTTTCTATTTACTTCAGCTCAAAATTAGAGTTTCCACTACTTTTATAAAAGATATTATTGGTTTGACGAATGGACTAAAACAAGTCACACATTCTCGACATATTACAACCTTTTGAAATGTTATACACACAAGGAATTCACATGAATTTATAATACTGGAATAATTTTGTATAACTTCTTTCAGTTAAAAATTTGTGTTCGTCATTTCACGAAGTGACAGAAATTTTCCAGTAACAATATCAATTAATGGTACAATTTATTGTAAATTTTGTAATAAACT